AAAGATTGCCTTAAAAAAATTTAAGAAGAACCAGACATACGGTTTCTATGATTTAAAGTTCTATGAAAGTTTATACCTGTGATACAATGTGAAAATTAAGAGGTTACATCCCTTTCATGATTAAGAAAAAGAAAATACGACATGATTATGTTATTTGGTCTCTACGACAACACTATTTTCTCAGACTTCTATTAAAGAGAGTATTTATCAGTCTTCGCGTCTGATTGGTCAATCTTATTAAGGCTATTTATAGTTTAAAATAAATCGTCTGCGTTTAATGTCCCGTCACAAATCTTCTCAAATCTTATTTTCTTTATTTTATACCAAAGTTTGAAGTAATGTCTCTGAATGTCAATTTTAATATCACATATGAATAAATTGGATGGAAAAACTTCAGTTTTTGCCCAAATTGTGACAGGAAAATCAAGTCAACTTAAGAAATTTTTAAATCACTGCTTAACCCAAAATGCCCACTTGAGTTAACTTGGCCAATCATACGTATGTTGTTTGTTAATTCTTGCTCAAAGCAAAGTAAACTGTTTGTGGTGTTTAAATGGAGTCGATTACCAATCATCAGAAGATAATACAGATATTGTTTTGGTATGATTGTTCCAACATGAAATGAAGTAAAGAGTTTGTCATTGTATTTTAATAAACTAAGTACTAACGATCAGTACTGCAAAACGAAACAAATTTTTATTTTTTTTTGGTATTCATGTTGCGCCACGAATGAAGTAAAGAGTTTATGGATGGACCTGGAAGTTGATAACCATCCAGCATCAGATAAAAACGGATATTGTTTTTGGTTTGTTTGTTCCACCATGAATTGAAGTGAATAGTTTGTATGACCAACCAGCATCAGAATAAACTATTATTGTTTATGTTAGTATTTTAATGAAGGCGGAAGTCAATAACCAACTAGAATCAGATAAAACCAATATTACCAGTGTGATGTAAAGGCTATGAATATTAATGAGACAGTAGGATATTGACAGACCAGATGATGTCATGACACTATGTCAGTGTAATTAAAGATAGACGGTGACAGGAAGGGTGTAATTAACGTCTGACTTGTCAGTAGACAGACTGTATATAGAATCTATAAACTACAGTTAAAGTAATCATACCATATAGATCACAAGGAGACGAAATTGTTGTTCAGACAATTCCTAAAACAAATTAGAAGTATAAACTTTGAATGACATTTAAAAAGTAGAAAGAATTTAAGATGTATAAGAGCATACATTACACATTCTACTCTGTCCTTCAATTTTAACAACATTTTAATTCACATACAGGAAGTGTATGAAATATATCTGAACAAACTCTAAACCATGAAACATAAACTCTAAACCATGAAACATAAACTCTAAACCATGAAACATAAACTCTAAACCATGAAACATGAACTTTAAACCATGAAACATGAACTTTAAACCATGAAACATAAACTTTAAACCATGAAACATAAACTCTAAACCATGAAACATAAACTCTAAACCATGAAACATAAACTCTAAACCAATAAACATGAACTTTAAACCATGAAACATGAACTTTAAACCATGAAACATAAACTTTAAACCATGAAACATAAACTCTAAACCATGAGACATAAACTCTAAACCATGAAACATTAACTCTAAACCAATAAACATGAACTTTAAACCATGAAACATGAACTTTAAACCATGAAACATGAACTTTAAACCATGAAACATAAACTCTAAACCAATAAACATGAACTTTAAACCATGAAACATGAACAGTCCATGAATAGAGACTCATCAACTCCTCAGAAGTTTAAATATGAAATATGAAGGCATATAAAATATTATGACAATATAAGATTAGATTTAAATATTTTTCATTTATTTTTAGAATTTTGTTTGAATTATTTTTTTCAGTTTCGTCACCAAATCGCCAATTTCCTCCCTCCACTGGTTCATCATTTTCTTTCCAAAATCGTAAATTTTCAGCGCCTGTGTTAGGTCTCAAGGATTTTCCAGAAAGAATCGTGGAAGAACATCGGATCTCACGGACTTCGGAAGTTGAAAATATTCCAGAATATGTCTACGAAGAAGAACATCACAATATTTTACAAGATAAACATAAGTATGTACTTCTATTGATCTTTGAACTATGATAAGCTAAATAGCGATTGGTTGGATCGAGTCCAATGAATGGGAATCTGTGAAATTTAAACACAGGGAACAGTTAGACAAATAGTGGAAAAAAGATTGAGAATTAAGGCATCCAATCATGAGCTGTTCTCAGTGTGGTCTGATAAAACAACGTAAATGGATCTGATTTTTGTTTTTTTTTGCTTTATATCCTATCTAGTCTCTGTATGTTTACACTACTTCCAAATATACTACAGATTGAATATTGAATATCTATGAATGTCTATGTGTCTAGTGCTGGAATTCAAAAAAAGAAAAATGTCATTTGGTTCAGATGTTCTACCTAAATTTTACCCCATTGTAGACTGAACTTCTTGCTCTTTATTCTGATATTTTGTTAGCTAGTCTAAAATAATATTTTCTATTTCAGATTAATTCATTCAGCCAGCGATGCTAATACAGCAAGACATAACGAGAGAGAGAACGGTATAGGGGAATCAGAATATCATCCCAGCCCCTCCCCACCACCCCCTCCCCCACCTCCAATATTTGAGGAGGATTACCTCCCCTCCCCTCCCAGTCCCCTGAAAGATAATAATATATCTATATTAAGTAAAACGGCGGGGGTATATTCACCCAATATTTCAACCCTATCTTCATCTCGTGTTGAGGAGGGGGATGAGGATACCAAGAAAAAGTCCAAGGTAGGAATTTGTATTTTTTGGAGAACATTAATAATTTTTGATATTTGTGTTCTATGTTCCTTTATGTTTTTAGGCAACATTTTGGATATTTTGTGTTTACGTTGCTATCGAACTTTTCAATACATTAATTAATAATATTTGGGGCGACGTTTTTTTCATATTGTATTCGATATTGCTAACCAATATTGAAGGAAATGATTAATCTATTTTATGGGGTAGATTATGTTATATTGTGTGATTTTGTGAACATGATTTTGGAGGTGTTGATAAATCTATTTTGGGGGATAAATTTTATATATTATTATTATTATTATTATAGAAATATTTATATAGCGCCATCTTTCACAAAACGTGCTCAGATGCGCTGTACAATTGATAAAACCATCAATGTATATATGATAAAATGGACATGTAAAATATAGATAAATAAAATGAAAGTAAAAAAAAAATTAACAACTTTCTTAAACAAAAACGTCTTAAGAAGAGATTTTAAAATTGCTAAAGAAGTACAGCATCTTAACTCATAAGGTCAAATATTCCACAATTTGGGTGCCTGGACGGTAAAAGAACGCTCATCGAAGGTTAAAAGTCTGGATGATTTAAGATAATATTATGGTAGAGTTCAGAATAATTAGTCTCCTATTTTAAACTGTTACCTTGTAAATTACAGCGTTACCCTGGTGATGATTCGTACTATATGGCTAAAGAATTATTAATGACAGAACGAACATATAAAAAAGATTTAGAAGTTGTTTCAGTGGTAAGTTTAAACTCTTGATTTTATATTTTGTCTCTCCTCGAATTATATTGATTATAAGATTACAACAGAATATATACCAATCACCAAGTTACTTAGCTTTTTAATCTCTGAATTTAGAGAAGGAAGTATGACTTAAAATTTTGTATGGTTTTTCATTAAAATGTCTTCTTTCTCTTCCAGTGGTTTCGTAATGCAATCAGTAGTGATGATGAAATTTTAAATTCTCTAACAGAGAGTTTATTTTCTTACCTCGACCCTATCTACGAGTTTCATGTCGGCTTTTTAAAAGATGTGGAGCTACGAATGCAGCAATGGTAAGGGGGATAACTCCAGTTTTTCTGTAATCCATAATGCTGTGGACATAAATCCATGACAACCAGTTTGATATTTTTTGTTGATTTTCATTTGTCATGGATGATTTTCTTCATTTGACTATTCTCATGATGAGACAAGACTCTACAAAGCTTTATCATCCAAACAGATTCATTTTCACTTCAATTTCAAGATTATCTCGTGATTATAGACATAGCAGAAAACGACTGACTTCAGATTTTGATTTTTTTCTTTCTTTTATATCAATATAAAGGGCAATACCAGAAACAGTTCTATAAAAACTTGATTGAACACATGGTTGAAGAAGAGAAATTATTTATTCTCAACAAAAGTGGTGTTTAGGATATGATGTACCTTGTTTAAGGCTAGGACTTTCTAAATTTCTTTTTATTTCAGGGAAGGAAAAGCTGTTGTCCAAAAAGGAGAAACTTGTCATAGAATTGGAGATTTACTACTTAAAGCTATAAATTCATTTGAACAGGTACGATATTAAATCAAATAACTTTTCTCTTTATTAAATAACAGGGGGCCAACAGGACAACGCAGGGACAATAAACTGAGTTCCTGTGTGCTTCAAAATTTATGTGTAAAAGATTCCTTGACTGTGAAAAATCCAGAGTAGACCAATGCTAGAAAAATAAACCACTGTCTTAATGAGCACTCAATTTTTTTGAAAGCTTTTCTTGGTAGAAAAAACTCTGCAAATACAGTTATAGATGTTATGGAAGAGACTCTCCTATAGAAACACTGGCCTAGGTCACAGTAGTTATAGGTGTTATAGAAGATACTCTCCTATAGAAGCACTGGCCTAGGTCACAGTAGTTATAGATGTTATGGAAGAGACTCTCCTATAGAAACACTGGCCTAGGTCACAGTAGTTATAGGTGTTATGGAAGAGACTCTCCTATAGAAACACTGGCCTAGGTCACAGTAGTTATAGGTGTTATAGAAGATACTCTCCTATAGAAGCACTGGCCTAGGTCACAGTAGTTATAGGTGTTATAGAAGATACTCTCCTATAGAAACACTGGCCTAGGACAAGAAGAGACTATGGATTTCAACATAAAAGCTATTTCAATTCAAACAGTAGTTGATATATTGGAATCTAAGAAAGATGTCAGCAATGAGCCTCAAATTGTTAAAATATGAAATGAATAAAACATGTCCAGATAAAAAATAATTAAATTTGTATTTTATTTTCTTATTTTTCAGTTATATCAGAATTATTTGAATCGTGAACAAGAAATGTTGTTAGAAATCGACTCAAAGATTCACAATAATAAACGTTTTGAAGATATGTATAAGGATTTCGAATCACAGAAAGTTTGTTATCTCCCTTTAAATACATTCTTTTTAAAACCAGGTCAACGTCTGTTACATTATAAACTTATTTTAGAACGTAAGTATTTCTGATTATATTTTATTTCTATTTATGTCAGTATTTTTATCACAATGTTTTGATATATTTATCTAAATATCTCCTTGGTGATGCTCGATTTGAGATTTCTGAACAGGTTTCGTCTCTGTTCCAATTCTGCCTTCAATCGAATATATTAAAATTTTCTCATCTGTTGCTCTCGTCGTCATTTCGAATTCTGTCTGCACCTAGGCCTACTACTTTTTCTGCACACTTGGTGCGCATTCTTAACTCTGCAACCCCCTAATGTGACCTGTATATAAAGTATTATTTTTATCCAGAGATGAGAGCTTCACAATGTACTGCAAACATACCAATATTGATTTTTGAAATGTGTTCCAGAGCAACCAAACTCCGTAGCTGACTGAAAGAGCTGTTTACTGTTTGCTAGTTAGTCTCTTCCACAGTTTTGAACTGTATAAAGTATAAATATTTGTTATATTAGAATATTATTATATTTTTAGGTTTAATAAAGTTCTATCCTCCACCAACTTCTGATCTTACTGACTGTAGAGGTATGTGTATTTCTTTTACATAATTTATAATACTAAACCTTGCTCTGAAATTATTTGCTCAATACATCTTCTAAAACTAGTAAAATTTGTAATTTGATGTAATTTTAACAACAAAAGAATTATTTTGTGTATAATATTTAAATGAGAAGTCAAGTAGCTTTGTTTAAAAAAGGACATTATTGTTATAAGTTCTGGTCTAATGATATTCAACTGTTTTATTTTTCATTTTAGAAGCTCTAGCAAAATTATTAGAATTAACAAACGCTTTTAATGATAAAATGAAGCGACTGGTAAGTTATGTCTTCACTAATTCTGATTATTTTTACAGCAATATATATTATCAAGTCAATTATTACCTAAAAAGACACTCCAAGATTAATGTCTACCGGTAGTTCACAAATCTAAATCTTCCAGAAGAGTAACCCTGTCTGATTTTCTAACTCTAAATTTATTTAGATGTGTAATTTGATTGCAGGAAAATGTCCAGAAGTTGATGGAATTACAGAGAGATCTAGTTGGAATAGAAAGTTTAGTTGATTTAGATCGAGTAAGTTAATCAACTTTTTTTATTTTTTGTTTTGATCAACTATGAAATTTTAACTTTTTCCCTATAGAAGCAGTGTATTTAACTGAAAATAACCATTTTTTAGCAACAAATTTGGCCTTAAAACATTATGAAAATAAGCTGATATTAAAATAGTAATTTTGTAGTATCTGTCTTCAATATATATTTCTATTTATTTCAGTCATTTTTACGAGAAGGCTGTTTACAGAAATATTCTAGAAAAGGATATCAACAGCGAATGTTTTTCTTGGTGAGTTTTCAGGATTGCAGGCAGCATTAAATGTGATGTTTTCTGTGTATAAATACTATGTTTTCAAACTTGAATGTGTATCTTTGGGTAAAAAGGAAAATGTGACAAGTCCCTTAATAGAAACATGAAGTTGATATTTTTTGCAGTTGTGGCGTGTTCCTTCAAGAAAATAAAACTATGTTACTTAATTAAATTAATTTTTGGAAAATAATTTGTTAATTTTTTTTTTCAGTTTTCCGACATGTTAGTTTATACAAGTAGAACAGCCACGTCTTTATTACAGTTCAAAGTTCATGGTCAACTTTCTTTAAAAGGAATGCTGGTAAGTTCAGAATTTATCAGAAAGGGGTTTTAAAATTTCCAAGTTTGGTTAAGAGCATTTTCTAGCAAATGAATTTTTTATAGTTTATATTTAAGTAAGCATGGTCTATTTACCCGCCACTTCTATATAGGTCAACATCATGAGATACAAACAGATCAATTCATATCTGACCAACAATAATATTTTGATGATTTTAGATTGAAGAAAATGAACAAGGTAAAATGGCAGTCCAGAATAGTTTTGCAATTTATGCTGGTAATAAATATATTTTAGTTGCGGCCAGGTGAGTAGGGTTTATACTGTGTTTTATATTTTGTTATTCTGATATAGTGCTAAAACTGCTGGAGACGTGGCACTAATTGTTGACACCTTTATAATAAACTTCCACCTATGGAAAATTGTCATCAGATTTCTAAGGTGGTTGCAAAATATCTTGAATCAACAGCACTGATTCAGTTTTCAGGCTCAAAAGAATGAAGAAGAGGTTTAACTTTTTAACTTGCCTTCATTTCAGTTCCCAAGAAGAGAAAGATAAATGGATAGAAGATATTAACGAAGCAATATTACAATTTAAAAATATACCAGATGACAAAATAAATTATCCTAGTCTAAAATCATCAGCTAGTAAGTTGTTATCCTAGTCTTAAATCATCAGCTAGTAAGTTGTTATCCTAGTCTAAAATCATCAGCAAGTAAGTTGTTATCCTAGTCTTAGATCATCAGCTAGTAAGTTGTTATCCTTGCCTTAAATCATCAGCAAGTAAGTTGTTATCCTTGCCTTAAATCATCAGCTAGTAAGTTATTATCCTTGCCTTAAATCTTCAGCTAGTAAGTTGTTATCCTAATCTAAAATCATCAGCTAGTAAGTTATTATCCTTGCCTTAAATCATCAGCTTGTAAGTTGTTATCCTAGTCTTAAATCATCAGCTAGTAAGTTGTTATCCTAGTCTTTAATCATCAGCTAGTAAGTTGATATCCTAGTCTTAAATCATTAGCGAGTAAGTTGTTACCCTAGTCTAAAATCATCAGCTAGTAAGTTATTATCCTTGCCTTAAATCATCAGCTAGTAAGTTGATATCCTAGCCTAAAATTATCAGCCAGTAAGTTGTTATCCTAGTCTTAAATCATCAGCTAGTAAGTTGTTATCCTAGTCTTAAATCATCAGCTACTAAGTTGATATCCTAGTCTAAAATCATTAGCGAGTAAGTTGTTATCCTAGTCTAAAATTATCAGCCAGTAAGTTGTTACCCTAGTCTAAAATCATCAGCTGGTAAGTTGTTATCCTAGTCTAAAATCAACAGCTACTTGTCATACAACTCTAAACCTTCTGGTAGACAGGATCATTGAAACATGGTTGTTATCAGTTTTTTTCTGTTTAGAGAACAGATTAACCCATTCAGATAGTGTATATTGAAGTCATATACTTTGTTACAAACAGGCAAACAGCAGTCTTTGGATTCTACTCTTGGTCGCCTTGTGAAAGTCTGGTGACCCTGAATAAGTCCAATGGAAAAAGCATCTAGTCGTTCGGATGGGACAATAAACCGAGGCCTCGTGTGCTACAGGCTGTGCACGTTAAAGATCCCTCGACAGTTGGAAATCGAAAAAGAGCAGGCTAATGCCGCTGTCCTGGCAAAATTTCCCTCATGGCAACCTGCATGGCATTGCCCATCTTCATTAGCCCACAAGGTGCAGAAGAGTAGGACGTAAAACTCCATTCATTTCATTTTATTTCTGAATAAGTCCAGTCAATGGGTGAATGTAAATGTTTACTGAAAAAGTCCTCTTTTCTCATTATTCCAGTCAACCCAGCTGTAAATGGGTATGGGTTGTCTGACCAAGATGTTGGTCCAGCTGGTAGAAACAATTCTCAGAAATTAGTTGTTGCTTTTGTTTTCAATTTCAATGCACTAAGAATATTGATTTGCTACCTTCAGGTTCAACTGAGAACGTAGATGGTGACCAATCAAATGAAAAGTTACAAGTTCCCGAAAAACAAATCCAACATCGAGCCAATACCACAATGCACGTGTGTTGGCATAGAAACACTAGTGTCAGTATGAGAGATCATTCTAAAGCTACTCGGGTAAGTTGGATATATTTAATCATAAAATTATATTTACTTTGTACGTCATGAATGGCTTTTATTACCAATGATGCCGAGCAAACTGTGAAATGGACGATTTTTAAACATAAAAAGGACTTAAAAAACTGGAGGTGCAAATTCTAAACTCTGAACTCTGCATCTCTCTGCTTGAGATTGTGCCTGCATAATTTGCTAGACCATTTTCCCCTGTCATGGACAGATCTGACAATATAAGATGGAACAATTTGTTCAAGGTGTACATATTGAAAGATCTCTTTACACTTTGAAATGGAAAAATAGTAAGTCATTTCTTCTTTCTTCCCACTGATTTCAGGGGAATTATTTGTAACTTTTTGTCTTTAATTTCAGAACCAATTAAGTGGTTATTTATTACGAAAGTTTAAAAATTCCAATGGCTGGCAGAAACTCTGGGTTGTCTTTACTAATTTCTGTTTATTTTTTTATAAATCTTTTCAAGTAAGTCATTTTGTTTTGGTAAAAAAAATGTCTTCAAATACTGAGATAGAGAACCTTTCTTTCCCAGATTTCAAGTCCTTAACGAAAAGAGTTCACGCTGCATTTCCTAGTCAGTAGACCTGATAGGGAGATTGACATCTTGTGATGAGCTCCAGAAAATTAAGTAGTGTTACCTTGAGAAGAGATTAACAGAGCAATCTATGAGATCTCTGCTGTGGTTTAAGTAGGATCATAGTTTTATTCTCCTTCACTTTATGGCTTTCTGATGAGACATCTACCACCCCAGTGTATCAACCCACTGGACTGACTTTATGGCTTTCTGATGAGACATCTACCACCCCAGTGTATCAACCCACTGGACTGACTTTATGGCTTTCTGATGAGACATCTACCAACCCAGTGTATCAACCCACTGGACTCACTTTATGCTGAGATCATATTTAAAAGGATGAATTTCATGTAACAAGTTTTTATGTCTTGTATTTTCAGGATGATTTTCCATTAGCTAGTTTACCGTTGCTAGGTTACGCTGTGAGTACCCCAGAGGAGGAAGATGGGATATCTAAAGATCACGTGTTTAAATTACAGTTTAAAAATCATATTTATTTTTTCCGAGCAGAAAGCGAATATACTTTTACAAGGTAAGGTGGGAAAATCTGCTGGATGACAATGGAACTTGATCTGAATTATTTAAGATTGAGCACAAGAACAAAATAATGTTTTGCTTATTTGTTATGAGGAGGGCTGGAGATCATTCAGATAAAGCTCCTAGTTTTCTTAGACATCATTTGCTGGGTTATGATAATATAGGTGTATGCAATGTTTGAATGGATAAGAAGCTAATATAACCTTTCACCAAAGTCACTTTTCAGAACATTTCCATTCAACCCAGCTGGTGGATGTTGTTCTTTTTGTAGAGTGTGGATTATTCTTCTTGGTTGCAATCCATTTGAGCAAATCTTAGGAATAAATGAATCTCTGTCATTAAAAGTCACTCACAACAAAAACTTATTACATTTATATATTCTTAAAGCTTTGAAATTTTGTTATTTTGAACTATTTTCAGGTGGATGGAGGTTATAAATAGTGCTACCCATAATGCTCGGCGGCTACGATTATTTAGTCGATTAGAGAGCGAACAGCATTGATGACAATAAAAATTATGTTTTATATTTCTATAAAATATTTTGATACAACTTGTTCTGATACAAATTGTGTTGGTATAACTTTTGCTGATATAAGTGCTGATACAAGTTGTTCTGATACAAACTGTGCTGATACAAGTTGTGCTGATACAAGTTGTTCTGGTATAAATTGTGCTGATACAAGTTGTGCTGATACAAGTTGTTCTGATACAAACTGTGCTGATACAAATTGTGCTGATACAAGTTGTGCTGATACAAGTTGTGCTGATACAAGTTGTTCTGGTATAAATTGTGCTGATACAAGTTGTTCTGATACAAATTGTGCTGATACAAGTTGTTCTGATACAAACTGTGCTGATACAAGTTGTGCTGATACAAGTTGTTCTGGTATAAATTGTGCTGATACAAATTGTGCTGATACAAGTTGTTCTGGTATAAATTGTGCTGATACAAGTTGTGCTGATACAAGTTGTGCTGATACAAATTGTGCTGATACAAGTTGTGCTGATACAAGTTGTGCTGATACAAGTTGTGCTGATACAAATTGTGCTGATACAAGTTGTGCTGATATAAATTGTGCTGATATTACTTGTGTCAGCATAACTTCTTTCATTGAGACCATTTCCAAAGTATCGAACTGTCATATTTTAAATGGATGTCCTGTTGTTAGGAGCTGATAATTTGATAATGTGCAAAAACGTTCAAATGAAGAGAGACGAATGAATGGCTTTGGAGAATGGCAAACTGAATAAAATGCAATGCTTTCTTTTGTCTTTTCTTCTGTTGGCAATGTAGGGTCATGTGATATATTCAACCAATCAAACACTTTGTTCAAAAAAACATTTCCCAACTATAATGATTTGTATCATCTAACCTCTTTTAACAGTGTTTTTGATTGGTTTGCATAAACTATGACATCTTTTAATTCTGTTAAATCTTGTCAGATTATGGATGGCAAGATTAATAACCTCCAGAATAAACATGAAATGAAATTGTTACTCTACATTAACACATGAAATATATTTAGTTTTGCTAAATGTGCTTTAACGAGAATACAGTTAGTGCCAGACACAATAACCTAATGCTTTCTTCTATTATAAATATTTAGTCTGGTAGATAACCAATTGAGCCCTAATACCATTTTTTGGCACTTTGCGTTATGTTATTTTCTTTGAGATAGTTACCTTAATATTATTGCAAAGAATAAGTTTTTGAATTTTTTAAAGTATGTTTCGGTTGCTAGAAGAGACAACATGTAAAACTAGTGGGTTGGGTTCTCTTTGACACCCCAACCAACCACTCATTGGCTCCATTTTAAACTAAAAGCTGAAATTAATAATTATACATAGTTTTATTCAAAGAGCCATGCAACAAATTATGTAGTAAAGAAAGAAAAAAGCACTGATTGAATTTTTTTTGTTAAGGCTAAGGGATCAAGACAGAATTTTTTAGATTTTAAATTTTGCTTCTGTCTGGTAAGCTGTTATTGGTTGTGAATTTTTTGAAGTAGTCATTAAAGTGAAACAATTGTCTATAGATGAATTCCAGCTATCTATATTACTTTTCAGAATTAGAATGTACTCATGATTCTCCTGCAATTCTGAACAATAATTTAGGCATACAAGGTTATTTTGTTTTAATATATCACAGATAATAAGAATTTGAATAAGAGTCTAGAAAAGTGATACAGAGATCTGTAACTGAGTAAATGTTAGATTACTATATCCTAAAAACAAATGTTGGTTAGCCATAAAACTATAGCATTACCCAGGGTATTCTCTGTTTTTAATCGACTTGTTATTATTATTATCTATGCAATGTGTTATTTTAAAAGCTATGCTACATCTATGCTATTTTTCTAATCTCACTGTTAAGAATTTGCACTTTTATGTCACCAGATGTAATTGTTTTAAAGTGTGTGAATATTAACATTTTGTTGCTAATTTTGCAAATATCTCTTGAATAATATAGTATAATAAAATATTTGCATGTATTTTGTTACATATTTTGGAAATAATTTTTAAATGTATTAGGAGGATATTTCTTTTGTGTGAGAAAAGTGTTTTGTTGACAACCGTATATTTTTCACAATGAAATAAATTCTGGTGTATTTTTGAAACATGTAATGAACTAATATTATATAAAGCTTCATGAATGAAATGACGGGGCTTTTAGCGTAGAGCTTGTAGAGTTGTGAATTGTGTTTATTTATTTACAGATAATGTTTATATTGATTACATGTGCTTTAAAAGTAGGTCATTTAGTAAAATATAAAAGTAGTAGAAGAGTGAATGAATGAAAACACAATGGACCACTGTTTTAATTCCAGCTATTTATTAAGATAATGACAGAGATATTTGTACACATCCAGGCTGATTTCAAAATACAACCACAAGTAGTCCACTTTATTTATAGGTAGTGTAGGTAGTAATATTGATGCTAAACTATCCAGACTTATGTGTTCATCAGTACTTACACTACCTACTAATAAAGTTGACTAGTTGTGTTTAATCTCTATTAATCGGACCTGGTAATGTACAAAAAATAACTTTACTAGACACTTGTTTAACATTATCAATCTTACATTGATTTATTTTAGATTTTAAATAGGTCAAGTCAGATTAATTATAAGTTCTTTTTAAAGTTCAAAATTATCCACAAAGGGATTCGATCAATTGACAAATTAGTTATTTTTTTATGTGCATGTATATCTTTTTATAAGAAGAATATTGGTGTCTGCAGCAAACTATCACATTTTCTATTTCTGGCAGTGTCCTTTAAATACAATGGATTTTATTTTGAATGATTTGAATTGTTTAAACTAAGAAATAGTGCTAGAAACAAAAACCTTGATAATCAGTGCTTCTAGATGTTATAAACTGTAAAATCATTCTTTGTAGGAAGTCACGTTTTAAAGAAAATTAGGTGTGGATAACTAAATTTGCCTTTTTTTTTTCATCTTTTTGATATATATGTGTTGACTATCTACTTTTATTTTTTTAAAATCCCTCTTTTTTCTATAAAAAAGCTTTCATTTATGATTTGATTTTTGTAGGCTTTTTCTGGTATTGGATTAAACCCAGTATTTACTTGAATTATGTAATTTTATTTTCTCACTTGAAATATCATAACAAGCTCCTCTTTCAGTTGTCTGATTTTATAAATTTTATAAAACATTGTCACAAAATGTATTGACTTGCCTTCAGTAACCTATTGATATGACAAAACTCGTTGAAAACATTTGGAAAAAGCAAGTTGCATATTCTGACTAGATGTTGTTTTAAATGGATTAAGAGCCCATTTACTTTCATCTTGACATTTATATAAAAATTGCAATTAAAAATGTATAATATTGTAAATGATAAAAAATGAATTAAGTTTTTTCCCCATTTTCTGTGGAATTTTAAAATCCACACTGAATTGTGTAAAATATATGTGAATCATTTTTTTTAGAAATTGTATAAAATAAAACGACTTACATGTAATTCATAATAAAATTAATTAAAAATGATAATTAAAACTAATTTGTAATTAATCATATTAATGATAGTGGTGGACAATTTATTCAGAATGGTGAAAGTTAAGGACTCTACCAGACAAGTTTTTTTATGGTGGAAATCTTTAACAAGGGCGGTAGTGGCAGAAAGGAGAAAACAATGGCCAAGGCATCAGGAAGAAAGATTGCTAAGATAGAGATTTGTACCAGTGGCATCTAAATTGAACTCTACTTTTACATTTTTCATTCAAGAAGGAGAAACTTTCCTAGCTCAGTAGCTCAGTGACTGTCCAGCCATCAACAGG